TAGTGTGAATTGTAATTTGTATCAGACTAGGTGGCCAGGATAGAGAGTGGAAGTAGAATGTATGGTAAAGCCTTCTTTTCTATTGAGAGAAGTAGGATTAAGCATTATATGAAAAGCTTCAGCTACTCTCTTTTCTTTGTAATTGCAAAAAACGTTTTGTAATATTTTGATATTTCTGAAATCGATCTGTTGGTCGCTGAAAATGGTGTGAACTGCTATTGCCGATTTAATTTAAAGTTTATTCAGCTCTGCAGGATTATTAAGAGGTTTCTTTGTGTACCTAATATATTCTTTAGTACGAGTCAAGATGATTCTCTAATATAGAAGGCATCACAATCGACACAACCTAATTTGTAGACGCAGTTCTGTGTAGACAGTGCACACATGCACACAAATTTATATACATGTCATATATGATTCACTTTGACCGAAATAACGTGACATTGATTCGTTCAGACCTGCTTTTTAATTGATCACATAATATTCATGTTGTTCAGTTGCACTATTGAAACTTGAATTAATTTTAATTTGGTTATTTATTCTCTGAAGAAGTGGCTTACACTAAGTCACGAAACATCAAAAAATCTAATTTTTCTACTCATTAAAATATTACAAATATATTAATTTATTTATAACAATCTACTCAATGCTCAATTTATTCGAAATTATCAAACCAAACCTTTTGTAATGATACCTACGAATTTACAATGAATTAGTATACTTAAGATAAATAGTTTTATTTTTGTTTTCATTCAATTGACTATATTACAATAACATGTAAGAAAAAAGAATGACATAATAATTAATAAATATTGCATAATTTTACTGAATTGAAATATACAAGTAATCTACAAATTTAATGTATTATGTATTATCATAAATAAAGATCCATGCTGGGATAACAAATCAGAGATAAATTCAAAATTATCTGTAATATAACTTAGTTCGTCAACAAAGCCATAATATACAATAGAAACAATATTATGAAAAATTTGACATTTCAGTAGTATTGACGTTAATTTACTGTGTAACAATGTTAAGATATAAATTGAAAGCTGATATTTTTATTTTTTTTTATCAGTTAAGAGCTTGAATTGATACGGTTAAATATCTTGAAAAGATTCTTCAGGAGAATTACAAATGTTTGTTAATAAATAAAATAATTAATATATTTTTTGTCTTTTTGACATTGTAAAAACAAGTTACATTGAGAATGACGAATAGTAAATTGTGATTGAAATCGAACAGCGAAAAATGTCTATATATTATAATCATAATCTGTAATACTCACATGATGAAGGCAATTGTTCACGTGCATATTGTGTTAAAAAATGTTTTAAGGTGAAAAATGGTGCATTAGTAATGCACCTAGTGTTACTAATAGGTATGAGAGAATTGTCTAAGTGTGTATTCAATACACGTTTCTGTTACTAATGTACCCTTTCCAGTTTTGAGAGAATTATCATGTTACTAACACCTATAGATTTTTTAGAACAATCATTCAAAATTGATAGCTCACAGTCTTTTTAAATAGTCCATTATTCGACATAACGTATAACGGATACACGTTAATATCAATAAACATTTTGTGATTTGTAGTTTTTGAACTTAGAGTTCCATAGCAATGACCATATTTCAAAGTGTTATCATTTTAAGCGCATTATTTGTAATGAGTATTTTCTAAGTTCATAATAATCTTTTTCATACATTAAACGTTTGTTATAAATTAAAAATTATTCTTTATATCTATAAGGAAATATTTCAGTTGAAAACATTTTATTCACTAAAATGATGTATGACAGATATGTTGGATTCAGTTCGGTTTTAGATATAAAGCTTTTATTTATTAAAGTTATTATTGAGTATATACGTTTGTAAACGAATTCCATTGAAAAAAATAATCGTCTAATGACTAAATGTATTTCACACAAGTATAACATTCAGTGATGAATTCGAGTGACTAAGCATATTTGTTCACTATTGAAGATAGTATAATGTATGAATTAGTGATAATGGTTATAGAAATTTCGTTTTTTAAAAGTTTAACTATCAGTTTTCTATCAACATACTTTAAACTGTTTAGAGTTATTTAATAATTTAAATTCAATCGGATAACAAAATGTCTACTTTTTTGATTGAGATCATGAACCGGTTGATGTTAGACCACCATGGAAAACCTGGAAGCACTGAACTGCCGTTTCGTCCTATTTCGGGCCTCCTCAACGGTGCGTGTCCACGAGTCCGCTCGCGGGATTCTTACCCAGGGCCTTCAGTCTCGCGCGCGAACGCTTAACCCACCGGACCACTGGGCCGGCATCCAACGGTGTTAATATCTAACCTCAACCAGTCCATGAAGTTGCGCGACCATCTTCCATTGTACTGCGGTAGACACCTGTTTCCACCCGACACACATGGTGGTCTAACATAAATCAGTTCATGATCCCAATCAAAAACGTTACAATCTCCACAACCCCTAGACTGAAGATGTTTAATATGAAATAACCTTCTTCAAAATGAGAACAATTAGCAGTTAATCGTTATTCTTCCGTTCATTTTATTGAATCTTAAAACGATGGTAGTTTAACACTTTCTGAGATTGGTTAGTATTTTTGTCTATTTCTATTTCTACGTTCAATCGAGTTATAAATTCGATGACATCTTAACCAAATTTAAATTATTTTTAACAAATACATCGGTAAAACTTCAAATCATTTTTATATTTCTGAAGATTTAAATGTAAATATGCCAAAACATGAATCTTTATTAACATTACTTAAGTAATGGTGGAGAAGATTTGTATCTCAGGTAGATGATTTTGGTGGAGTTTTGTTCTCTGAGCTGGATGGTTTGGTCGTGGAGCTTTTATCGTTCTTCTGAACGACATCATCAGCACAAACGTCAGATAGAAATTCGAACACTTCATTTCTATTTGAAGTTTGTGCTGATGATGTCGTTCAGAAGAACGATAAAAGCTCCACGACCAAACCATCCAGCTCAGAGAACAAAACTCCACCAAAATTACGTAAGTAAGTTTAACTTGATACTGAGAAAATAATCATTCAACGAATTTAGTTAATATTTATGATCTTATCAACATAGAAGACAAAAATTGCTTACGATAAATATTTGTATAATAGAACAAATTGTTCAGACATTTATATAAATGTGTAGTGGTGTAGTTATTATTTAGGTCACGAATTGATATTGGACATGTTTCAGTCAATAATTATTTTAGTGCTGAAAAATGTAACACAAATGAATTAAACTGTAAACAAACAACATTTAAACGATTTCTTAAGTACATGATATATATATTTTTTGAATAATGACTGACAAATGAGAACAGAAGCCAGAAATAGTATTGTTTATTGAATAAAGAGCACTCAATATATGAATGTATACAGATAGACTGAAATAGCTTATGAACTGAACAAAAAAAGGTATTTACAACATTGATCTATTTGAAAAACAGGCTGTAATTCTGGGTAATGAACATATATATATATATATATATATATATATATATATATATATATATATATATATATATATATATATATATATATATTCATTACGTAGTTTATTTAGTGCAATAAGTTTTTCTATTAGTTTTTCCTGACTTAATAATCTCCTTTTATACTCCATAGATAAATTTCTATACTTTGAAAGTTCAAAATCAACTGTAAACATTATTATTCTAATTATCCTGACGATATAGTGAATTGATGATTTCTTTAATTTATAAACTTGAAAACAATGCAGGTATTAAACTATTCTATCATTCATTACATCTACTGGATCACTGAAATTCAGTGATTATGAAGTACTAACCAAATGAAAACTTAACTAAAAAGTCAATGTTAATTTGTATAAATATGATTATTTATTGAATAAAACAAAAATCATTCTAAAATTTCATATCAATTATTATGCAGGAGGCATAAAGTCTCCTTAGAATAATTTAGTTTTGTGTGACATTCATTATAATCGTAATTAATAATAAGCATAAGAAATAGGTATGCGATATGGAGGTTAAATATCGGATGAAGATAACATCTATGAATAATGTCTGTTTTATCATTGAAATGTTGCACAACAGTATTCTAGAGTGATAGCAATCATATGTTAACTCAAATATATATATGTTTCACTAAAAGGATATGCAAAACATCAAGATCAATGTTTTTAACTGAGATAACAATTGTAAACGTTTATCTAGGAGAAGTTTGAATGGTAAGAACTGTAATGAAATAGATATATATGTATTATTCAGTCATAATAACGTCAGAAACGGGATCTGAATTATCTTCAATAAACTGTCAAGTATACATAAGATGAAGTGTCATGTAACTTTTTGTGTTTTTCAACAATATCATAATTTATAGTGTTAGTGAATGAGTTCTCATTTGTGAAACAAATGATCGATGTCTATTGAGAATATTATACGACAATAAAAAAATCAATAATCTATTATTTCTAGTAGTAATATTCAAATCCCACACGTTTAGACAACAACACACTTCTAAAATTTTATAATTTTCAATAAACAGCAAAACGTAACCATTATATATATATATATATATATATATATATATATATATATATATATATATATATATATATATATATATTGATGTTTACCGAATATCAACACTAAGAAATGTAAATTACCAGTTTCTTTTGATTCTATTTCTCGATTAGTCATATAGTAGCATATTGAATATATTTAGAATAACAGCTAGTTGTAGATGTGATTGTCTTTTTTTTTAATACTTTGCACCCAGATACTCTTGAACCACAGTGTTGATATCTTTATTGTGGTGCGTATCAAGTTCTAAACGATTTGCAATTTCATTACTAACTGGATATATTTTATTCACATCAAGCAGTGTTTAGCATATAAGATACACTTGAATGACTTACAAAGAAAAAAAATTAGAAAAACTTAGTCATGAAACTTTTACTTCAGTTTCGAATAGTTTTCTATACTTCTGATTTTTGACTGATATGACTAAACTTGAATTAATTTGTCATGATTTTTTCGTATGAAACTCGTGAATTAATGTGACATTGAAAGTATAATTTAAGTGACAAAATAATCTCTCATATGACTTTAATATATTGAATATCTATGTCATACAAGAGAAAGTTATACTATTTGTTAAGTTGTTTCCTAATATGTTTCATCAACAGGAAGTGATGTTCATACTTTATTACTTTTATTGGTAGTTTATTGATATAAAAATTGCAGATTGTATTTCTTAAACAATCGTCAAATCACTGCATTATAATCTTTTCCTCTTGATGTCATGAATCTAAAATTAATCATTATAATTGTCAAATTGATATGTTGTTTTTTCATATTAGAAAAACTGAAAGGAATGTATGTTGATTATGTTGATTGACGTGTATTTCAATTAGTTTAGCTGGTATATTTGGATTAAGTAGAATAATCAACTTTGTTTATTAATCATTTTAGATACACTTTTCAATAATTAAAATGATCAACATTCAGCAAACAACTTACCCGTTTATTCTTGAGATTATAGTACAATAATTTATGGAGAATTTAATCAAAAGTGTTGCTATGAGAATTTTTTCAAAATAGTTCTTTAATTCTTAATAATAAACAATCTAATGATAGTCATATGAAGACGAATTATGCAAAATGTAAGAGATATAATAAAGAATGAAAACGAAATAAGTATGAATGAAAAATGTATCCCTTCAAAAAGATAATCATTTGTTTTTGAATGAAAAAAATAGTTATTTAAGCAGACATGCATAGTGGCTAACACTGGAATTCAAAAAATACATTTTTTTCCATGCGCGACTCGTTAGCTGGATGCACTTTGAACCAAGACAGGACATTCATCCAGAGATCCGAAATCACTGCCGTTCGTTTTAAATACCACCACATTAGCTACTTAGCTGTCAAGTCCAGATAGCTACTGGTTGGTGACGAGGGGTTAATTTTAATTTATCCTTGCTTAAATTTGCTAGTAACCTAGCGACAATATGGAGGCAATCTTCACCTAATGGACATGTACCAAATGAGACTGAATAATTGTAGTCATGAATATGAGTGAAAAGATTGAAACAATCAATAAATATAAGTGATTTTTTAGTTTCATGATACATACATTTGAAAAGTAGCAGTCAACAGAGTTACTTTTCCGCTTCAACTGATAAATAAATAAATAAATAAATAAATAAATAAATAAATAAATATATATATATATATATATATATATATATATATATATATATATATATATATATATATATATGGGATTCCATTGCATTTATATTTTTATTCATCAAATTGACGACAAATGTTATTTCAAACTTGACAGAAAATCGATACTTTGACACGAGCACATCAACTGTAGATTGTTAAAGTATTCATGATTACGTACTTTATCATTGCCAAATGAAACTTACGCTAACTCACCAATATTAAGCAAGCGCAAATGTATCCAAACATTCAATAGATCTACTAAACAAATGTGAACTTATGATAAACGTTATACTAATTTTAATTTCTAAATTATTTCCTGGATTTCAACAACATATGAGTACACTGAAATTGAGACTTATGGTTCCAATGAATTTTGTCAAGGAGTCACCTAAATAGATAAGACGCTTTGACACACCTGTACCGTTTTACCGATTATGAAGTATTTCGAACATAATCGTCTTCTGGCGTTTGTTTTCGAAACATTCATTTATTAAAATGTTTAAATATTTATTTTCATTCTTTGTTGTTTATTGCCGGTACAAACACATGTACCAACTAATTTACTGTTTTCCGTGTTCTGATTTTGCAGCTGTTTTGTGACTAGCGTGATACTTTATCTTGTACAGGATATATTACCTTAACGGATTCTGGGAAATTTTTGTTATGTTACTCAATTGTTTTCTAAAAAGTTAATCTTCATGACAACAGAACTGCGGCAGTTTATGTACCAGAGCTTGAAAATGACTTTTCAGTAACTAAAATGGAGGATTTTGTGTTTCAATCCTATTATCAATAACATGTCATTTGTAAATTAAAAGCTACTGCTAATCAGTAACTCATTACACCCATAGATTTTGATTTGAAGGAAAGTTTTATACCAGGTTGCGCACTAAATTATTATGAAATGTGATTCTAGGGTTCAGATACTTATTCTAAAAATTATTCCAGGCATTTTAAAAGAGTCATCTAAATAAATGACTTTGAGCAACCTGATGAATTTCAACGATAGTAAAGTAGAACTTGTAGTATGATGGAATGTAGCTTCTTTTTCTAATAACTGTCATTTGATAGCCTGTATTAATGAGGTTTTGTGAAACAGTTAGGCATTATCATTTAAATTCCACCTTTTAAACTAAATTGATTCATTCTGAAGCCATGGCGTAATTTGTGTAGAGTAACAGTTTCTTGTCAAATAATTGTGACCGGTCAGAAAAGTTTGATTCAATAGAATTTTTATTAAGATTTATCATCTCACACTGAAGTGAGCTGTTGTTTAAATAACAGTCGTCGTAATCTGAGATCATCCATTGAAACTGAAAATATTAAAGCCGTTTCATTCTCATTTGAATATGGTTAGATCAATGATAATTGTAATTTGTGATCAATGGAAACTCTGTATATTAGAGCTTCATAGTTGAATGAATTAGTGTGTTATTTAAGTGAATTTCGTTTACTTACTTTAACAAAATTCTCGGTGGTGAAGGATGAATTTACAGTAAACGAAAGAAGTAATCGATTTAGTTTGATCGAAGTCAATGGCAATCACCATCACAGATAGTAGCTTACTGATAATTCTAGTTCTGTGTTTATTCAAAACATTTGATTTTTCCAAAAATAGAGACTGACATGGATTTAGTATATCGGCCATTTATATTCTAACTAATAAATCTTTTGTCATTGATTGTATAACAAAACTCTAACTTGCAAATACTAAATGTTTTGGTTGACTGATGTACTTCTAAAGCAAAACAATAAATAGATACTTAAAACTAATCAAGTGAAATGAATAAGACTATTTCTATAGGTTAATTAGGTAAATTTTAGGAATATTAACTACTGAAGACATGGTGTTCAGTAACCAGATTCTCACTCATTCTTATACATATAGAATCGAACTTGTTTGTTTAGGTAGAATAAAAACTATCAATTTCAGAATTATTGATTATGTTATTCTGTAACCTGAGTTGCCTAGTTTTACCTTCATTTGTATCGTTCATCTGCGGTCTGATAAGTTGTTGACTGTTTGAACATTACCTATGTGGTGTATACCATTTATATCTGTTGACATAAGTAGTACGTAACACCAATCTAAAGTTTAATGACTGACGTAAGAAGGCTAAGAAGATCAAATTGAAGAAAACCGAAAGGGTAATAGAAAGGAATGGTAAATTGTAAGAATCCGACAGAATGTAGCTGATAGTTGATGGGAGGATTTAATTTATGGTTCTTATATTTAACCAAGTTATTTTGTAATTTTGTATAAAATAATCCATCGGTTGTCCCCATTTGGGTTCTCGTTCTTTACATCCAGACTATAGTCATAATCGAATGAAAACCATTAACCAATAATGCCGCCTATCGATAATTGAAATAAATAATAATTGATTTCAAGTAAAGAATTGGTTGTCAATTACATTTACCAAATATTCTAAATACTTATTGGTAATTATTATTATGAAACATACCACATGATATCTTTTGATTTGATGGATACAACTATACATTGCATTTTACTGGGTTATTTATAGAGTTATACATGCTTCCAACTCTAATTCATTCGATTATATTTTTATCTGTTTAATAATATTTAATAACACTGTTTAATAAAGATACTTCCGTTTTATTTCCACAACCATTCAGTCACAACGTAAATAAAATAAATCAGTTCTAAGGTGGATTAAAGTAGTACTGAAATCTGCAGTAAAAGACGTTCGATGAATGACCAGTGTTGATAAAACTTAAAAATTGCATTTACAAAGTTAACCACACATATGAAACTACTATTCGATCTAATTCAACAAATAAATGCGTGTTTTTTTGACAAAAATTAAGTAGGGCTGTGGTGTGTGCTACTTATGTTGACATAAGTAGTATATGATTTTAGTCGTAAACAGAAGACATATGAGACATTGAGGTTAAAATAAGTTCCTTGTTGTCTCACTAGTGATTAATTACAGAAAATATTAAGATTCATTCAGTTGCTAAATGATGATCTACACTCAAGACCAAAATTTTATGTTTACTTTGTGCCTTTATTACAAATCATCGAAATAAATTTCCTTATGATTTTAAAACACAACAAAATCGAAGTTACTCAGAAAGATTATAAATTCTATGATTATTAGTCAAGACATTTAGTTTTGAACCGTTGTAACTGTATAGTAAAATATTCTCGTTTTTAATCGCTGAAAAATTCTCATTATATTAAAACACAATTATATAAACGAAAAATATTCTTTCTCATCAGGTTCTACAATTAGCTTTTCAAACAATCTTCACTTAATATACGTAAAGTGGATTAGAGGATCATTTATTCAGAAATGTTAGATGTTGTACCCGTGATGAATTATTCTCGAAATCGAATAAGAAATTTTTATACACAACATACAAATTTGATGATCACTTTTACTTATCACACTCATAGATCAGATTTGTTGTAATAACTCTCGTTTCTTTTAAGGTAACATTAGATATTTTAATATTGTATTATATATTTTCTACATTTTGTATGTGGATTGTAGTTTTCTGAAAACTGGTGAATTGTTTCATGTTCCTAAAATTAAGTCAGATTATCATTCACGGTGTTTTATCAATTCAGTTTATAACAAAAGTGAGTTCGAAAAAAAAGAACTCACATCTATGTAGCATCTTGAAAATTGAAAAAAAACGTATTACCAATTTCATTTAATACAAGATAAGACTTTTAAAATGTTCAATAATAATTTTTGTTTCAATGTTTCTACAACATAATGCAAATGACATTTAAATGATCAATTATTCTTCTTTTTGTGTTTTTAAATAGACAAACATGAAAATCTATTGGCTTAAGTAATTTTATAATTACCTCATATACATTTTGGTGAGATTATAATTTCTAGACGACATTTGAGCAACGCTAAAATGACTTTGAGAGTTTACATCTTATAACTAGAACCAAATGACGGTTCTAAAGCAGTTTGAAAAATAAAGATTATGATTTAGGGTTAGGAATTAAATTTAGGGGTTTTCATCACGAAACTCACATTGGCTATAATGTCAAAACTCTATTTAGACAAATGAATGAATGAATTTCACACCAAAATCGAATACCTACTATTGTAAATCTGATTGGTTCATCCATAAATTATAGTCTTGCCAAAAAAAAGCCATTAATGTAAATCTCAATAAAATAAGGAAATTTATTTATAAAGACGAAAAGAGTCATTGAAAAAAAAAGTACTTGTCTTTATTTTTTTTTCTCATTTTTTCTTCTAATGTGAGTAATGTTACCTTGTTGAAATCTATTTATATCTACAATACAAATAAAAATTAAAGTCAAAAATTAAAAAAATGTAGGCGAGAAATACTTTTTCTTTTCAATGACTCTTTTCGTCTTTATAAATAAATTTTCTTGTTTTACTGAGATTTACATGAAAGCTTTTTTTAAATCTTACATTTTCTTTTTATCACGATATTTCCCTTTATGCATAAGTTTGAGTAAACTTTTTAAAAAAAATAGTCATATCTTTTAAAATAAATTCTATTATTCCTCTAATTAGAACAACACATGAAAGCGAATAATTGTTTTCTATTAGATCGTTATCAGGCTTTACTCTAGTGTATATGAATATTGATACGAAAATGTTAAACCAATCAAGACAATTTGGGTCAATAATCACAATGAAATAGAATAACTCACCGCACATAATTGGTAAAAGTATAAGTTGATAGTAGAAAGACAGGTGTACTAATAATAGTAAGAATAATAAAATACAAAAGTCTTGTCGATAGTTAAGCATCTAATTGGTAGCGGTCATAATCTAGATAAATCTTATACCTCTATGATTTCCCAACGGAGTTCGTTACCGTCTCCTACATATAGTTGAAGCCATAGGAATCCGTACATTTAACCCCAATTTATGTGTACGGGAGAAATACATGACCCTCCTACCCCTTCTATGGCCGGATATAACTTAATGAATGAAAATTTTTTTAAAAATTTTATTTTATTTTTGTTGTCATTAGAATTATTTTCACACCCGTATTTGTTTGCAATTTTCCGCCTTTTACCATTTGTATTCTTCATTATTCAATTATTTACACACTTCACATTAAGTAATGATTTCAATGTTTTGTGATGATTATTTTGTCTATTTATCCACGTTTGATCTTCTATTTCCAATGTTCAACTATTGATATGACTTTTGTTATCGTATTTCATTATTCTTACTACTATCAGTACACCTTTCTTCCTACTATCAACTTGAACTTTTACCAATTATGTGCGGTGAGTTATTCTATTTCATTGTGGTTATTGACCCAAATTGTCTTGATTGGTTTAACATTTTCGTATATATAACGATCTAATTGAAGACAATTGTTCACTTACATGTGTTGTTCTAATATTCACAATAGGAATCTTCAATATCCCTCTTATGAATCATGTTGAACCTTTATTTAATAATAATAAAATTTATTTAGCCAAAAATATAAATAGGTAGGATTTTTAAAATATGGAGATTTGTCTTTTGTTTCTTTTTTTTCTTTTTATAAACAAAAAATGTACTTGAATCTAAAGAGAGAGAAAGAAATGTCTTTTAAAGTTATTGTGCTTTCCACATGGAATACATGAAATAATATTTTGATTAAGAAAACATTTATAATTATCTCATTGAATAAATAATAAACTATTTGTATAGTATGGGACTCCTCAGCAGTGCGCATCCACAATCCCGCACCACGCGGGGCTCGAACCCAGGACCTACTGGCTTCGCGCGCGAGCACTTAACCACTAGACCACTGAGCCGGCATCCACCGGTGTTAATGTCTAACTTTAACCAATCCACGAAGTTGCAGCCGTCCAGTGCTTCCAGGTTTTGAATGGTGGTCTAGCTTCAAATGACTCATGATTTCAACCTGTGAAATTTCCTGAAATTCTCCACAAAACTTATTCTAATTTGTATAGTGTCAAAAACAGAGTTTGTTTTGTTGATCAAATTGAAATCCATTTGTAAATGATTATGCATAACAATTAGTATTTTTTCAAGAACTTATTAATACAATTACTTACCAATATAAAGTTTCTGTATATATAAATTTTCTTTTAAAATTCATTCATTCAAATAGACTATGATAGTGATATTCACAAATTACTATAACAAACGTAACTTGAATAATGTAAAGTTATTTTATATGATTAAACACCTTTTTTTCAATGTAATGAAAGTATATTATAAAATATTCTCTCGTTTTGTTTGGTTTCATTCATAGCTACATCTCATTAATATTGAGTAGAGTTTTTTTAATAAAAATGTAACAATTATCATACTTGTTCTCTTGTTGATCGAATAACTTGAATGAATTCAAATCGACATTTTCTACAACACCCATGAAATATTTTATTTTATCACAATTATTTGTCGCCTTTTGTTTTACATAGTAAGTCAAACGAACAAAATATGGAATAAGAGTTAATAAAAATTTATAAAAGGTATACAAATTTATTTATTATTTTAATTGATTCACTAACAATCTGGATACTTTACTAGTAATATGAGGTAGATGATAAAAGATAATAAAAACAAGAACTAGTCTTTTCTTTCCTGAGTACAACAACTATGTTACTACTAAAGTGTAATGATATGAATCAGATTTTATATTATTCGTTTTGAATAAATAATTCAGGATATTCCTTCGAGTTTTCTTTCATTATTCATTTCAGAAAATTGTCTGTTACTAAGTAGAACAACTTAGGTAATTGGTTTCGTATAAAATAACAATTCTCTGCATGAAACCTTTTGAATTTACGTATCCTCATTCAATAAAATCGTAATATACTGACCAAAATCTTTAGTTTTCAACAGTTTTCTTTGATACTATTGGAACATTTCATTAAAATGATGTTATCGTTCCCATTCAAATAATTGAGATGAAGTAAGAATTTTGGAACAGGCCATAAGAATAAAACACAAATAGAAAACAAGTACTTTTGTATTACAGTATTAATATAAGGATTATTTTACAACAATATAAATGATTTTTCTACTACAATATGCGAAGAGGATGTTAAACAACAATATGATTTGGTGTTACATACATGGCAACTCACGTGCAATTTAGTTTGTTCTCATTTAACTCAGTTAAGCCCTTTTGTTAACTTAGCGGACGAAGTCATTCTTACTAGAACAACTGATTATACCTTTATTATTGTTGTGCTTGTATGAAATATGTATGCTTGAACATTGCTTATCGCCTACGCATATATTCATTCTGCTAGCTTTATTATTAACTCATTAATTGATTCGATGATCCATTCAGGTTCCTATATATATACATGTACATTTAACACTACACTCTTGGTTCGGTGCTCTGTGGTCTGAGTTATCTGCTAATAAAACTGTAGTTGCTGCTTCTCTTTGCCTTATGATTTAAACACCGTTGAGGATTATATGATAACGGTTACGAGGGTGATCAGTCAACGAAGCACAGTCACTACACATACTACACATCATATCAGCTTTAACTAATTAGAAAATTTGGCTTATACTATACTATTCAATGAAATTAGATTTGAAATGTTCATAATCAGTCAGATTTCTTACATTATATCATTTTGTTGCTTAAACGACAAATAGATAAATGTCTAACTAACATGTTACATAAGTAATTATAGCTAACTCATTTCTATTTTATGTGATGTGACTCACCTTGTAACCATTTTTCGTCTTACTAATAAAATAAGTTAAATTAAAAAATGAGTACAATAGACTTTGAAAAAACAAACAAATATTTCACTTGGTGTAGTTTTACTTGTATCTTCCGATTGTTATTTAGGACTGCAATTGATCAGTCTCATGTTAGTATATATGTATCCTGTGCGGAATGCCTCGATATAGCTTTAAGTCACAAGCTTTTTAAACAAAGATAGATAGTGGCTAGCAGTTTCAAATAGGACGAAACGCGCGTCCTGGATTCCACTGTTAGCCACTATTCATCTTTGCTTAAACAAATAGTTCGTTTTAAAATTGAAAGATAAACTTTTGTATCTAAATAACAAATGTTTCACTAACTAATTATACACATACTCTAATTGATTGTGATAATTTATTACTATTAATATACGAAATATATTTTATACTTACCAATGTAAGATCGTCTAGATTGCATTGAGCAGTATGGTTGCTTACAAATAAAACAAGTTAATTACATTTTAATAATTTCAATCATCAATATAATTTTAAACAAAAAAATTAAGATTTATTTATTTTCATAAATTTTGGTTTATTTAGTTGAGTGTGTTCCAAAAAAATATTTAGATGGCATAGTTACTTAATAATTTCAAGCTCAAAACGTACTCTAGTTGAGTCTGTCTATTTTTTTGCGTTATTCCTAAAAATGTATTTCATTTAAAAAAAATACGGTTAGTCACAAATGATATATGAATTTAATTTTTAAACGTAAATAAACTAAAGAGATCCATTGACATACCATCAATAGTTTCTTATCCATGTGCCATTTTTCAGTGTTGTAAATATTGTATACTAAACCTAATGGATCTTCATTTTTAGTTTCATAAAGATTAACCATTTTAAATATATATGAGCATTTTTGCAAAACATAAAATACAGAATTGGTGATGATTACACGCAGAAATACTCAGAATATCTGTAATGCAATTTCTGATACAACATTATTTTGCATGATACTTAAAATTTATGAAACATTATTTTCTCAATTGTCATTTTAAATGATGTATCGTTTTAGTTAAACAATTCCATTCAACTAACTCATATCATTATTATATGAATTTGAATTACAAATCATGTGTATCAAGAGTATTTGACAGTATAAAAAGTACTTGTCATACAAACACAATTTCAGATAATAGGAAATATTGAATAATATTTTAGGAATCCTCATGCCAATATTTAAAATGACAAAATAATTTGTTCATTATCAACGTAAGTACTATTGAAGTGTCATTTATGCACATTACTAATATTATTATTATTTAAATATGACATTTAAACAAAACAATATACAGCTAAAGGTAACTTATCCGATTGCATTTGATACTACAAAATTCTAAATTGATTATGGAGTCACATGTGCAATTGTTTTCGTAGGTAACGTTTAATGGTTATGAGTAGAAGAATCTGTTTTGATGAAACAATATGAAAAATTAACAACTACTTTCCTATTTATGCATTTACATTTTCGTATAAATATTCATGTATATTAGAGTAAAGCCTGATGAAGATATTTATCTCTCATTGATGAAAATGCATGTAAATAGTCAGTACAAAATTATGACGTCACTCACATTTGAGTATATAGAATGCTTAATCTAATTCCGGTTTATATAACAACGCAGCAGAGTGGACTTGTGTTTGTCGAATAAGAACTCAGTGAATTTGCTGGTACAATATCCTGTATGTTTAATAACATTTTCAGGGTTAAGTTTATTTATTGCTAATATACTGACCAAACGAATTAACAATACGTTGCTTCAGTTCTTTCAAATAGTCATTTTACCTTCCCTACAAGTCGTGCACAATGATTCACATTGTGAAAGCTTAGACCTCGTAATATCACGCCAAAAATATGGTTATACATACATGACTTAAATTAGGAGATTAGACTGCAAGTAGTTTCATTTGTTTCATCACATATATTTTAGATTTTTACAAATGCTCAAATATTTGAATTAAAACAACAGCTAGCAGTATTGTTGAAGTAACTTATAAGATAGAATGAATGTAAACAATAAAAACAATTAGTTTTCTTAAGTTATAGTAGTAGTGTAATCGGATAATAACTTAAGAGATGTGATATAATAGGTGCCATATCATACAACAGATGACGATTTATTAAGAGAAAAATTGCTTGATCGGTTTACCCTAAATAACTCTATTTAATGCTGAACATATGTTTAATCTATTTGGACTCGTTTAGTACTGCACAGAAATGACACGAATGTATGATTTATAATGCTACTATGAAACATTTTGATAACAAGCCGAATAAAGATGGCTTAATGCTGTACTTGTCTGGCTACATTTCCAGAACTCTAGTTACTTTAAATACACACGAATGGTAGTAATTCCGTTCTAGATATGCTTTCAAGTGGCTAAGTCTGTCCTGTGTTAAAAAAATGAATTCGATAAATATGCTGTATTTAACACTTGATTTTGCCATACAAGTAATATAACTTACAGTCTGTATAAAGTCAATATTTGTTCTTACTGAGCGGTTATTAAGTTTCTGAATTGTTCGATAATTATCAGCCATTCTACCAGATTCCCGAAATGAAGAAATTCGAAGTTGACGAAGAGATTTTAACTATAATGCAAAAATAATGTAAAAACATATTGTTATATAAATGTCTATTGAATTAAGCATATTTTACATAAACATTGTTAGTGAATCTATATCGCATTTGAAATAATTCAAACATATATGCGTTTTACAATATACCACACACAGTCGAAATACTTTAATTATTTCTAATGATTACTTCTTTTATATGCGAAAAAACTAATGAAATACTTGTTCAAACTACGAGTTATTTGAAGGTTTTTTTGGTTACTTTTCCGGCATGCAAAATGACTATGACTTAGAAGGGGTTTTGTGGAGATTGTAGTAATTCCAATAGTTGAGATCATATGTATACTATACACATATATTCGGTCTCCTTTGCAATTCGTATGATACATTTCAACAACAGTACTTTTTCCGTTACTCAAAATAAGTGGATTTATCAACGAAATATCCCAAGTGTTATTCATTTTAGTGCTTTTATGTGACGTTCAGTAAGTATTTATGTAATTTGTTTACATTTATCACCATAGTTGCCCTAGGAGTAGACTAACTAGTATTTATATCTATGTTTGAAAATGAACCCTATAGAAGTGTTAAACAATAATTCAATTTCCGTCACACCATATTATCTATGTGGTATAAAGAAGTACTGCATATTTGAAGAAATATTGAAGTCAAAGTTTTCTAATATTTAATTATTCCATACATGAATAAAATTTATAACGCAACTGTATATTTATATATTCCTGTTTGCTTTTATATTTTTTGAAAAAAATTAGCTATCGATTACGTTAAGGTTAACAAGGATAAAATATCTACCTTAAAGTTCTTTTAATTTTGAATCTGTAATTTTACTAATTTATTGAACATTTTGTCATGTAAACGATGTGTGTCATGAGTTTTATCCAGGTATATGGCTAATAACAAGTGAAAACGTATTTATAATATAAATATTTAGTGTCATTAGTAAATTGTTTTATATCTAGTCTGATTGAAAAAATCCCATTCAAAGGATACTAAAGGAAAGCTGGATTTCGGTGATGGTTGGAGGCAGTCGATAAGAAACCCTAGACCCAAGTTTCATGCTACTTGGCACCCGTCAGCAAGGTGTAACTGTAATCTTAAGAAGACTGACCCTCTCTGATGGATTTGATCGCGTGTCACCCAGAGTCACAGTCATAGGCGTTACCACTGAGCTATCCAGGCCTCGATCGACCTCCTGTAGAACTGAGATGTAATCACGATTGATTGATCTTTGGGTGGTGATCACTGTCACGTGTGCCAAGTCCTTATTAGTGCAGATCGAATACTATCGACCATGTGTCGAGTCGCTTGGACTGATGACCACATTGCAACATGGTCGATGGCTTTCGATCTGCACTAATAAGGACTTGACACACATGATATTGATCACCATTCAGTGACCAATTAATTGTGATAGCTGGAATTGCCTGGTCAATATGTACAACTATTATGGATGTATGTAAAACTCAATTAATAAATAGTGAAAATTAACCAGAATTAGAGTATTTTTCTGAATACTTACTATTGTTTTAGTGGCAAAACGAGAGAAACCAAATGATGATCTACAAGTGATCATTATACTTAAAGACGAATGAATCATTATAAGTTCATGAACTTAAAACGGTGTTTGATGGGTTGAAATTAAAGAAGATTACTGAAACAACATTTATTAGAAAAAAAATGCATACCACATCTCTGCTATTTGATTATAGAAAATAAATATTAGGTATTCATTTGGTGATGTTATCAATTATTATGTGTATTAATTGTATCCTCACTATGATATGTATAAATTTGAACTATGAAAGTTTATAATAATCATTTACGTAGTTTTACAAGTTTAACTACTCTCAAAAAATAACGAATATAAGATTGTAGTAAAGGAGAACACAAGTGAGTACAACCGGATTATATTTAGTGCAACGTCACAGAGTTACGTGGTAAAATAGAAAAACCACACTATTATACCTAATTTGCAAAATGTTCAATAATTGTCTCGGACTTCATTGTTCTTGCATTTCTATACTAATTGCTTTTTATTTCCGTTCTTCCTTTCTCAATCTTCCCAATCTTCTGCTGCCAGACATTACATTTCTGACTCGCGTTATATACTACTTATGTCAATATAAGTAGCACGCACCACAATATCAATGAAGAACCATTTGGTCAGTCGATTTAATTTAACTTCAAAATTATTTGTCAGTGTTCTTCAAATAGTAAATAATATTATAACAATACATTTCTTAAATCTAAGCTATTACGTGGAAAGAAGATAGCCAATTTGTAATTGGTTAATTTATTATTTAAATCAATAAAGTTAGGCGCGATATTTGCTTCAAAGTACATTTAAAGGTTTTTTTTTCTAAAATCATTCACAATGGTGTTGATGTATTAACTCTTGATCCTTCTTTTCAGTCTTGATTTCCAACAATTCATCTGAATAGAATTCTTACTGTTCTTTCGAACGATATTTTTACAACGTACAGTCACATTTTCATGATCATTATCATAACATTATTTTGATGTCTTACCTATCTTGTTATTTTCATCTTGTCAACGTAGTGTTATGTGGCGATTTTAGCCCAAGCACATTTATGACCTAATCAATGTTAATAGTAACTAATCTAAACAAGTTAAGAAATATTAAGAGTAATGCTAAAAGTAACAAACAGTAAAACAATGAAGTGAAGTATTTCAGAGAATGGCCATAATAAAATTCTTAGCTATGTAAAAAATAATTAATGGTAACTCAACTTGAAGGCAATATACTTTCTATACTCAATGGTTATGATCGTTTTATTGATTAACAAATTTCTGAGTAGTCGAATAATTTCTATGAGCTTTTAATCAATGAAGATTTACCTGATAAGTTTAACCGATGAGTTGTTTGATATCTGTATATTCATTAATGAGAAACGTGATTACTTAGTATATTTTCTATGTTACTTTAAAATATTCATTTTAAAATTATTTTTTATATAATTAAGAATAGATAAACAGAAATTGCTTTGTCGATTAACACGTATTTAGTAAGTCCATTTTAGCAATATATTATCAGTATGGTAATATTTTATTTAAACCTCCTTTTAAAGTGAATTTATGTTTACCTGTGTTTCTGTGATTATAACTGGTTGATTGAGTATAATCCAAGTGACTGTTTCATAACAAGCAGGAAAAGGTAAAGAACCTTGATATGTCATATAGTGAACAGTTGATGGTATTATACCATCCAACAACAAACCGTGAAGCTTTTTAAACTGACCTACACAAAAGAGAGGGTAAATAAAAAAATGAAATTGAACTTCATTAGCGAAATAAAAATCTAAATAAATGAACCAATGGCTAAAGAAAGTAGTTTTATAAAATTTCATTAATTATATATGAATGTAATCGTTAAACTACTTCAAAATGAGATGGATTAAATCACAATTACTGACACAATCAATAAATTTTAATTGTTTTGCAAGATGTGTTAATGACAGTTAAATTGTTTTAGATGTCTGATAAGAGTAAAGCTATACCTAAAAAAAATCGTCCTCAATAAAATCATTTAAACGATTTTTACAGTGATATTTATAACCGATGAGCAAATAATGTGGTCCATTGAAAATTAGAAGAGCGATTGTATAATTTCGGAAAGTCACGTAACATTTGATAATTTAGGGGAGAATGATAAAAGTGAACCTAATGCATGAAAGACAACTATCCACTAAACGAATGTGACAATAGTGAGCGAAAAAAGGAGAACGCGATAGTAATGATTTGCAAAAAAAGAACATTAGAAGAACGTATTATTAATAATTTGCCGTCTGTGAAAAATTAGGCGTTAGGCCCATAGAAGAGTAATACCTTACAGTTGTCGCTTTCACACACAGCGTTCAAGCTTGAAAAAATGATTTACTAACTCCTCTCCAGCGCATATCTTATTAATGGCTCTGCTTTCAAACGTAATCATTTGTTTGTATGGACGATTTTGAAGAATAAATCCGGAAAGAATTTGCTTGTTTGACTGCCTCAACCCGCCTCACAAAATCAAGTGAATGTATAGATCCACATTGATGAGGCACAATTTAGGAGTTTATCTCTGAATTATCCACGAATGACTGAGAGCCATAAAAATACTTTTCCTAAAGATTCCGTTTGACAAATTTTCAGAACTTCTACAACAATATCTCCTTCAAAATCATTGTTGATGGGAAGAGTTTTTTTAAAACCGGAGGTGTTGCATATTGAAGTCTAGGTTTAGTGAACTTGAATGGATAGACAATTTCTATGAATATTTATCGAGGTTGGAACACTTCTTCGTTTGTTCTATTTTTAAAGCATATTCTACTAGATGTTCAGAATAAAGATTGAATTAAGTTACTTTTCCTGTTTAACAGAACTAAACTATGAAAATTCGTACAATAACCATTACTAATTGATTGTAGTAAAAAGAATTTTCGTCACCAGAATTTCTTTAGTTTCTCTACAAAGGTATTGTGTGTTACTTTTGTTTGTAGTTAACAGATTTTAGTAATAATTTATAGTCATGTTCGAATTTCATTCAACCTAACACTGGAATAGCTTCGATCACTGTCAATATTTAAATAAAGTTCCATATATTATCTAAGAAGAAACGAAGTTACACATATTTTACCTAATAACTCTGTTGATCGACCACAATAAAGCTTTCTCTATAGTCTAATAGATCGCCTTTCACTAAACACACAAGAAACCAGATCAAAATATTTCTTGCATCCAATCCTTTCCAAAAAAATTCGTTGACAATAATAGTTCATCATCAACTACTCATAGTTTCGGTTTAAAAAATAATTCATTTTTTAAATTAATTTTCTTTTTGTAAATAGTTACAAAAACATAAAGCGGGCCACTGAATGGTACTTATCTAGTAGTCTATTGTTCATTTCATTTCATTAATTCGATATGAAATCATCTAAAGTTAGTTTTATTGTGAGAGATCAATGACATATTTTTACTATTTAACCATAAAACATTACCCTTGTATTTAATTTTGATTATCCATACATTCATGAATGCTTTATATACCTGTATATTGTTTGTAATTTAAATTCTTATAAGAATCGAATGATTAGAAAATACATAGGTGTTTATTTTATCATACAACATAAGAATATCACTAACAATAGTTGGGTTGTCAATCATTTGATGATGATAGCGTGTTTCGTAATTTCACGACAAAATAACTCATTTCAAATCTTAATCAATAATGTGAAAGTTATGAATTAAAATGTCTTGCTCTAATAAAAAGTAAAACTATAATTTTAAAGAAGTAATAATTTATTGTTAATACGTCAATATATAAACAATGAATAATAGACAATGCTGTCTGTAATGACATACCTTTCAACTGCACATGGTCTGCTATAGAAAATATAGCTTCCAAATCAGCTGACGACTGACCACCGACCTACAGAGTTTATGAATAGTTACTTTAATAATATTAATAAACTAATTATTGACTGAGATCATGAACTGACTGATGTTAGACCACCATTGAAAACCTGGAAGCACTGCGCGGCCGTTTCGTCCTAATGTGGGACCCCTCAGCAGTGAGCATCCATGAGCTCGCTCGCGGGATTCCAACCCAGGGGCTTCAGTCTCGCTCGAACGCTTAACCTACTGAACCATCGGGCTGGCATCCAATGGTGTTAGTGTTAGGTTCATGATCTCAATCAAAAATTCAATAATCTCCACAAGCCCCATACTGATAATCAACATGTGCTCATTAGTGACTAACGTCGTGAGGGAATTCTCAGAGTTCTGGTGAGAAGCCATGACCAGTGGAGCTAATTCGTGTCGGGTAGAGACACGTATCTACCTCAGTACAATGGAAGATGGTCGTGCAATTTTGTAGACTGGTTGGTGTTAGATACTAACACAATTGGATGCTGGCCCAGTGGTTTGGAGGTTAAGCGTTCGCGCGCGAGACTGTAGGCTCTGGGTTCGAGTGTCGCGGGGGGCGGGCTCGTGGGTGCGCACTGTCGAGGAGTCCCGCACTAGGACGAAACGACCGTCTATTGCTTCCAGGTTTGAAATGGCGGTCTAACATCAATCGGTTCATGATCTCAATCAAAAACCTGATAATCTCCACAACCCCTATACTGAAAACTGAATTGTGTTTATACAATTTAAATACATACTCCATAATAATAAAGCTTCTTGATGAATGTCATTATATGGCTGTAAAAGTGAAACAAAATTTTGAAATGGAGCAAGTATTTTCACATGTTTGTGATCAACTGAAACAGTAACGCGTATTACAAGTAGTTAATGTTTGAACTGCATACATGTTTAATAAAGAGAGTTATTTATAAATTTGAAGTTGAAAATAGAATGGGAATACTCATTATATGGTTTTAATCAATATAACGAAACTCCATGAAGATATTACATAATATGGGAAACGTTGTATTGATCAAATTAGGTTACTTAATATTCAGAGAACCATGTTTATTAAAAGTGATGGGTACATAATTAAGCATGGAACGCACATAGAGTATACACTACATACTTTTCCTTGTAACTCCTTTGTGATTTCTACCATTCCCAATTACCAAGTACACACTCATCATTCATATCTTATGATTTACTCATCATCCGTTATGTTATTTACACCTACATAACATTTTGATATTTTGTATGATTGTTTCGTAATGAATGTAACTGATCACCTTACAGTAAATATTCTTAACTTTATTTTCAATGAGCGCTCGACGTTATAAATAACATTGCATGAAATTAAACCATTATCGATTCACAAGTCTGTTGTTTCTAGAAGATATTATTGTTTCGTTTAGTCAAAATTCATGTATATTCGTCCGAGTTTGCTCGTTTTCGGTTACATAGCCATACTATTAAATTATTCCAAATTCTTATTTGTCTGTATAATCCTCGATATATAGCTGACTAATTTCGATGATGCAATGAGAAGACGAAGTTCATCAGAATTAGGTAATATATTTACGCAATACATTTCAAACAATCTGATCACATATATATACTTGTTAAGACATTTTTATATGAAAATTAAAAGGCCAATTAGACAAATTAAGGGTAAGCCATAACAAAGGAAAAAAATACTAAAGTACACAAAAACAAATGTGATTACCACTCTGAATTATAAATCAGTATTACCAGGGTAGGTTAAGGGAAAGGACAAATTGTTTTTGAACACATAAAGAGGGTTTCAGTTTCCATATAGCTAAGGCTTCAATACATCTTAGTATACGTCCTTGAAGGCTTTTGTACAATACTACAAATGCTGACTTGATATCAACCTTATGATCAGTTTTCATCACATGTTTCGCAATGGAGGAAGATGTGTGTCTATCCTTTGATTTTATTTGACCATCGGAATTCATTTGCTTCTGCAGACATTTTAGTATGTGTTCACCCACCCTTATTTGGAAATTACGAATGCTCTTCACTATGTACGTGTTACCGTACATACAGATAGTTCGAAATGTATTGCAAAAATATATCACCTAATTCTGATGAACTTTGTCTTTTCATTGCATTATCAAAATTTATCAAAGGGACTAAATTTTTTAAATAGCAGACTAAGTCAAAAAGATATATATATCATTTAAAACTTGTCCTTTCTAATGTAAACTTTTACAAAACACTCGAATAATTGACCACCGTAATAAAAAGAGCTGACTTTTATCTCATCATTGTTGTGTTAATGATAATAATTATCGGAAGTCATTTTTTGACATAGATTTTCAGTTAGTTATTTATATAAAATAAATATCAGTCGGCAAATCATATTTTATTCCACTGACAGTTAAATGAATATAACTATACTGTTATTAAATTGATTTTTTTTTGCCTAGATTCCGTGCACAATACTCTTCTCTATTAGAACACTTAACGAAGCATTCCCAAAACATAAATTCCAAATTCGTCAGTATTTTGATCTAAAGAATAAACAACGTCTGTCTTGAAAAAATTGCAATTATAATGATTTCACTTTTTTCAATAGAAAATACAAGGAATTATACCGCTTAATCAAGCAAAATGAGACAGATTTAAATCTATTGTATGCATCAACTAAATTTTAATACATTTATTTATACTGTTATTAAATCTAAGAACTATTATTTATGCTTCACTAGTGGACAAGTAAAATATTTTTTAACAAGTAAGAATAACAATTGAAATGAGTGAAAATTCTGTGATTAAAAGTTCTTGAATTCATGCTTGGTATTTGGTTTTTGCATTTTTTTAAAAAGTAACCCGTTACTAAACAAGTTGATGCTGAGTAAATGGGATTAAATAACATTTTTTAATTATTATTCAAGCGAAGTAAAGAGTTATGAGACATATCAATGCGCTGTTGATTCAACAAATGTTGGTATAGTACAACAGTCATTTCAATAAAAATAATTCATAATGTGCAAGAATCACTTACTTGACAGAAGATAGATAATACAGCCAACCCATTCGGTTTAGATAGTGCAACAGAAAAATTTGGATATAAAATGTAATTGAATGCATATAATTGTAGCTGTCAATACAAAAACACAATGTTTTCTGGGCATAATAAATGTCACATTTTTTATCTTTAATAAATTAGCTCGTATCGAAATAGTCACAAAATTCAATGGAAGGACTCATTATATAAAACGTAATTACATAATAGAAGTCTCATAAATTCTGTACTACCTAAGGATCATATTATATTAGTGACAAATTACATCTGTCCACCTTTATTCAAAAAGTGGTATGATCAATCCATGTTCTAAGATGCACGGTATTTGAAGTGTAACTAGATCGTTCTTGTTACAAATATTTTTAGTATTGAAATCCATGTAAAATATCAGGTTTCATAAATAATGAACTCAGAAGTATACGTCTGAGGAGAATAAATGTCAATTATTTCGACGAAACACTATATTTATCCCATAGGAAAATCAAGACCCTTTCAGTTTTTCCCATAATGTTTATAAAATCATTTCATATGAAATATATTTTTTACTTTCAATCTATGCATAAAAATTAATAAGTATCTGTAAAAAAGTACTGTTTTACAAACTTTCAGCGGTATAAAATATTTGACCAAATTATGTATTAGAATGTGAAAATATTATCGTGTTGGTGATATCAAAACAGTAAGAATATTGTATTTCATGCAATTGGTTCCCTTTATGAATTTGAATAGAGCAAGAACAAACATTGATGCAGAATAGTATGAATTCATATTATTTCGAGGTTTCTCGTCAGCTGCTTACAAACCAAAATTGTGATAGAATTTTTACATGGAGATAGTGTGAAAACAATTGACATAAATGAGTGTAAATAACTGGATTACAATAATAACTATATATATATATGCTAGAAACGGGTCAGAGGTCAAAAGAGGGGGGGTTAATCCAGGGTGGGTGGTGTAATAATTTAGTGAAGTTCATAAATTGTGATAATTGTAGAGATTAATGAAATTAAATAATGATAAGGTAGATTACGTAATAATAATTAAATAGAATTTGGAAATTTAAGATAATTTAAGAGAATCAGGCGGTGGAAATGTGTGAATAAAATTTATTTTAAAAATTAGGTAATAGAGGAGAGTATAAAATATCTTAGAATAAGTAAATGAACAAAATAACCAAAACACAAAACAAACAGAAACAAAAAGATTACCAGGGTAGTGATAAGTTTATTAGTCTCTTTTTGAATGCATAAATCCGGTTTCAGTATCTTAATCGCAATCGCTTCAGCAAAGCGGAGAGTGGTAGTACTTTTTTGTCTATTGATAATTTTAAACGCGTGCAGAATATCGACGGTATGCCCGGTGTCAAGTAGATGCCGAGCTATTGCACTGTTAAAAGCTTTGGTCCCTCGCAGCGTCAAGTTCTTCGGAATATGCTCAGAAATGCGAACCTGTACTCTTCTCTCAGTTCTTCCAATGTATGTGCTACGGCACGTACATGTGAATTGGTAAATGCAGTTGGAGCAACTGAGGGGAGAGGACTTGTCGATCTTCGTTTGTTTCAGTGAGCAGTATGTTTTCCATAACGTAGTCAGTTTGGCTGCCGGGTAGGTCACTTTTAAAACGGAATTAATTCTGTGATTGATAATTCCGGCGACTTCATCTCCTTTGAAGCGCAAGGATAGGAAGCAGGTTTTCTTTTCAACTGTATCATGCTTAATCGGAGGGTTTGTATTAGCATATTTGTGGATGAATTTATCCGGATATGCATTTTCACGTAGGCATTTGGTGATTGTAGTAATTTCTTCTTTGAGGCATTCTTTTGAGCAGATTTTTCGTGCGCGGTCAAAAAGGTTTCGCACAATACCCTTTTTATAACTCATTGGACAGAAGCTGTTAAAATTGAGATAAACTCCGCTCCAAGTATTTTTGCGGTGAATGTGTCTTTGTAGTGTGCCGTCTGATGTTGTAACTGGACATGACGTAAGAAATCACTGGTTTTGGTGTAATGATTAAATTTCCTCAAATTGAATTGCCATTGTTATAAAATATCAACTTTTTTATTAAATGACAACTTAATCATCTTTGTTGTGGCATAACGGTTATTAATCAATGCAAGCTTTTTTAAATTCGTTTAGAAATAAGAAGCTGAAGGTATGAATGTATGATTCAATGTAGCCCAATAAATTTTTTAAACTACCTGCTAGCCTATATTGCTCTAAGTAAATAAGAACTTTCGTCTAAATTTGAACGAATAGTTTCACAATATTTGAGCACCGAGTGAATTTGAGACATATGATATTCTATAATTTTGTTGTTTGATTATATTTTCCTTGAAAAAGCTCGTACCAGATTGCCAGGCGAAACGTTGAATTTACTTCAAATTCTTTCGCTGAGATTTTACAAATACATTCTTCCTCTATATTGCTGTATTTTTCAATTGTCACGCTAATCAATACATTATTGTTTTCTTTCTCTTGTAATACTTGCAAAATGAATATTTTAAAAAGCGTCAATCAACTTTTGTCATTTCTCTAATATTGGAATTGTCATCATTATTCAATTTTGTTATCAGAAGCAGCAAAGTGGTACTCTACGCCATGATTGTGGGTTCATCTCTACTTTATTTAAATCAGTTAACTTTTACTAATAAAATAATAACTTACTAAAATTTAATCAAGTGTACTACAAGAGTAACTAACAGAAGGACAGATTAGACGAGATATGCTTTAAATTATTTCATTCATACAATTATGTAGATAGATTTTACGACATGTGAATTGCAACCATTAATATTTTGGACAAATAATAGTATAAACAACTGAATTTGGTTGAAAAAATGTGCTAATGACAGATGGTCTCTCATTCGGAAGTTGAGGAGCAGTATTTACTTAAAACCGGGTTTCGGAACCTAACTAATATCAAGCTCCCCTCGAATACCCACACTTGAGAATATGTTTTCGAATTTATGGTGCTGTTTCTTTTAATTTTCTAGATTTATTTTAATATTTAGAATTACATTGAAAAATTTGGATAGCAGAATACATATTAGCACAAGAATTTACAGCTTTCCTAATGAAAGGTAATACATTTTGGTATTTCGAATGCGTCACAAACGATCTTAGATACAATTCTCCTGTTTTCGTTAAAAGCAAATGCGAACTACATTGTTATCATATTCAAATAATAGTTGATCTTCAGTCACTAGGTATAGTCCATAAGTATTTTAAAGCACACAACATCTGTTTTATTTAGTGTATAAAATGAATCATTAGAAACATATTAATCTATGAGATTAATTGCGATTCACATACAACAATTAAAATTTTTATCTTATAGTATCAAAATTTCTACCTCTGCCGGAAACGCAATACCGTCAATTTGATGATCTGAACCACGACTTGATCTTGAACCAAATTTTATAATAGCACCAAACAGCTTGTAGTCATATACCAATGGTCCTTCACTGAATATAATTATTGTTGTTGAGTCAAGAAATTTCATTTGTAAATCTTGTCCAGTATTCACTATCTCCACGTCAATCTGAAAGAATCGTGCAAGCATACTTTTAGTATCTGTTAGCTAAACAATATATTGTGGAGTAAACGTCATGTTCATGTGCAATTGACCGACCATTACCTGATTTATATCTAGCCTAATGTGAAACAAAACTTAACGGTTTGTTATAAAATAATATCACAGTCAAACGTTTAAATTTCGTATCTTATTCATCTTTATAACTAATGATTACAAGTATATACAGCAATAAAATATTAAACATGTTTTAATAAGAATGTAACAAATGTAACGCCTAATTACTTCAAAACGAACCACTATATTTTAGGTCGGCTAAAGAACATTAAAAAACTATGTATTTGGGACTGAGCACTTACCTGTTTATCTAAGCCTAGTATTTTTATAGGTTCCAAATTAGTATCAAATACTAAATGCTTTGTAGAGATATTGATTGGTGATTGCATTTTTCCTTGATAACAAGCTGACCAAATGTCATTGGTAATAGCCATGAGCGCCGTCTGCCCCCAGTTACTTGGACCTTGATGAGAAGAGAAAAAGAATATTGATAAACTATTATTCTGATACGAAAAACAAACATTGTAACTGCTTGTAAATATCTGCTAAATGACAGTTTTATAAGATATATTTCCTTCATGAATTTTAAAAAACCAAGAATGATAGTGGAAGCAGATTTATAGGAATTCATTTTTATGAAGTTGTTTTCATCTTGCCACAGTCGTATTTATACTGAAAAAAACATGGTTTCAAGTAGTAATCATTGGTTGTTGAAAGACTAAAATAACAGTGGATTGTCAGTATTGTATATATACATGCATGTGTGAAGTCATTTGAGGAGAAATATAGAAAATATAAAGCCAGTAAGACTTTATTAATACAAAAGACAATTTGAGTAGTAATTATATATCTTAAAACACCTACTTAATTTTTAAGGAGTGAGTAAGTAAAATTCACGGATGTATGGAAATTTAATATTAAAGTGGATAAAATAAGGGTTAGCTGAGTGAGGTGATGTAAGTAATAATATCCGGGGAAAACTAAGTCAGTTTATCAATTTACCATGGGACTGCTTAAAAAATAATTCTCGTATAGCACGTAAATTCGCTTTAACCTATCAATAAATTGGGAAAGGTAGGCAAGTTTAATAATTTTCTCTATATCAGCTTTAGTGTCTAACACTGACCGATCCATGAAATTGCGCGACCATCTTCCATTGTACTGAGGTAGATACCTGTCTTTAAGCAACACGGATTAGCTCCACTGGTCATGGCTTCTCACTAGAACTTTGAGAATCCCCTCAGGAAGTTAGTCACTAGTGAGCACATGTTGATTATCAGTATGCGGGTTGTGCATTATCACGGTAAACTAATGTTATATAAATAGTTAGCTGGTCAATAAATTATTAACCTGTATAAGAATTGTATCTACAAGTTTAATTAAGGTGCTAAAACGTCGAGGACACTTTTGGTAGTTAGATCTTAGGCATTATATATATACAGCTGAAAAAATCAATAATTAAACAAAATTCATGGACATATGATGAAATACCTCCTATTACACCTTCTTTGTAATGCCACCATGTGTCCCAGGCAGAATCCCATGAACTTTCTTGCCACACTGCATCAAGTGACTCTTAAAATATTTAGAAAAAAATTGCTTGATTATTGAATTTTCGAGTTAATAGTGTTGACATTTTTATATCTGTTAAATGTATTGACGGGAGAGTTGTAAAAAATAGATTAAACCGTTTTGATGAAAGGTGCTTGGAATATTTCGCAGGAAATACAATTTCCCAGAAGCTTACACCAAAGACTTTGAAATAACTGGCTTTATCGTTCAGTTGAATAGATATTAAGCTTAGTCCTTTCTACTTACCAACATCACATAATTTTTGGCCCTACAGAAATCCTATATCTTAATTTCTCATGTTGTCTCCTGTGGCATTTATCAAGCGACTGAATAATTGAACAGCGCATGTTTCTAAATTTTAACAATAAAAAAATTATACATACTTTTAAACAATATTAACTATTTAGTGTCTTGGTTTTAACTCTAAAACTACTGTTAAAAGAAACATTAACAATAGACGACAAAAATGAACTACAGAAAAACAACAAGTTATATTTAGGCTTCTACAAATCACTAAGCATAAGTTTGATCAATCACTAAAAAAGACATTAAAGAATATGACTAAAACCATTACACATGTTTTTAAGTAACCAAAGAAATATTTAACAAATGGTTAAGGTACCGTTTTTCGTCAAAAAGTTTCACTGAAATATTAACACGATTTTATTGCAATTCACAATCCAAGTATATAGATGATGACTGTCAAATCACGTAGATTTTATGTTCAACTTGAAGTTCAGTATATTAGGCATTTTTTAAAAATATATTGTAATTGTTTCCTGAACAAACTTCTGTTTAGTGAATAAACAGAATATTTAAATTAACCATTAAATTCACAAACGGCAGAACAGAGATTTAATTAATTAAATATCTCAAAAAATGTGGTGTGCCAAATTATACGTAGTGTATGACCTTGAAGATCTAATAGTAATGGTTCGAATTTGGACTACGCAAAAACACTATTAAGAGAACCTAACGAAATTATAAGTGCTTTTGAGAAAACATTGTTCTGCAAGAAGTAATTTTATTCTGAAAGCGCTATGCAATGCAATTGATAGAAATATGATTTTCGGTTAGAAAACATTTAAAACGCTCCCAACCGTAAAATCCTACTAATGAATGAAAAAACAAGAAATTTGAAAAATCTTAATAAGACACGAAAAGAAAGCTTGTCATAATAGAAGTAATATAGCATTCTGTCAATAAAATCAAACAAAAAGCTTGGAATAATAGAAAAAAAGAGGAAACAAGTATCAACGAAACATAAAATTACGAACAATAAATAAAAAGAATTCAAGAAACACAACAGAAAAAAAAAGATTCGGATCTAGAATAATGACCAAACACACCAAGATGAAAACACTTTAAAATTATTTTTGTCACGGTAAATGACCAACACAATATTCCTAACCTCATTCAACTAAAGGAAGATGATTATCAAAAGGTTAATAAAACCCCAAGTCTTTCGTCAAAAATACAATATTTGCTCAAATTTACGAATTTTAAAAGTTGGCAGATTAATAACAAACTGAAAGTGGTAACAACTTTCACAGCAAGACTAGTCTAGTGTTTAAGTCAGGTTCCTTCGTCATAACGTCCAGGAATAGTTACAATAAAACGGTAAAAGACAAAAACATCTGACAAAGTTACCTAACTACCAGTTGAAACATTTTCAGTCGATTCTACTAATGTGTCAATACACCAAATTGGCTATTAAACGACAAATGTTTCCTTGTACTCGTTTTATGTACAACGTGTGATTAACTTATTCACGATGAACTATTTTACATGATCATTACATTGGAATTAGGCCTCCTTCTGTGTGAAAAGTCGTCTACTAGTAATATTGTGGCAATTACATTACTATTGATCATTCACAGATGACCCAAAGCCAAAACATACGTCTTCAAATTACCAGTAAAAATTGAAATCGCCTTTAGTCCTGAGCCTACAAATGTATTAGCGACTATACAATTTTTGAATTATTTTTTCCGGTTGTCGTTTTTATAGCGAGTTAGTTTTCCACGGGATGGGGTCGCTAACCCCATTCCCAACCCTCCTTCTTTACCCGAGCTTGGGACCGGCAGTAACTCTGCGAGAGATACAGGCGGACTTTCAACCAATATCAAAGTCAGAATCTTTAATACGAGCGTCCAGACAGTTCTACTGTACGGAGCTTGAACTTATAGAACTACTACAACCATCATCAAGAAGATACAGGTATTTATAAATAGTTGTCTGTGAGAGAGAACAAACCAGCTTCCAGCCAAAGAGGAAATTAGGAAAGAACGATGGAAATGGATAGGACATACATTACGCAAATTATCAAACTGCATCACGAGGCAAGCCCCAACTTGGAACCCTGAAGGGAAGCGGAAAAGAGGAAGGCCAAAGAACACTTTACGTCGTAAAATAGAAGCATATATGAAAAGGACGAATAACAACTGGAAAGAATTGCCCGGAACAGGGTTGGATAGCGAGTGCTGGTGGGCGGCCTATGCTCCTCCACGAGAAGTAGCAGGCGTAAGTAATTAAGTAAGCAAAGTATACACTTTTGATCTTAATGGTATTTTCGGTTTCGGATTATATACAGGCAAATGCAAGACAATATGAATAAAATTATATTCATGTTTAGACACTCAGATAGAATTAAAGATTCATCCCACCGAACAAGAACTTTTGCAATACACATAAGCCGCCAAGTGCAATAATAAACCAGTTCAGAATCCATTATATCGGGCAAACATTCTTTTCTAAAATCAAGAAACTCATTCCTCAGTGAGTTTAAATTCTGTAAATGTTTCTAGACACTACGTCCTGTCTCGTGATCCCGTAACAAAACTGCATGTCTATAATAAAACCTCAAATCAATTTTCACGTTGGGCAGCAAACCGCAAAGAGATTGGTTTTGAAGCCTGGACATGAAAGGAAAAGACTAGTATTCGCTTGACAAGCGATTTGAAATACACCTTCTAATGCTTCATACTTGACATCGAACCACTGTAAACTGCCTACTTAAACTTCGGCCGTATACAAAACGTGCACTCATTGATTACGCGTTCAGCATACCAATTTATGATGCTGTCGACATGCAAAATATTTATAAAATACAATAGATTTTGAATAAAACAAAATATTCACCCGTGTTTATCAGTTTTTGGACTCATACAATGGATTTAATAATATATAAGCTTACTCATCTTAATGGATCAACCGGTCTTTCAAAAACTACGCATTGCAAAGCAGCCGCTGTCAAGGGTTTTCGTGCGTTATGGTCACTTCGCCGAGCGTTCAAATCTTTTGACGAGGAAACGTTTCAAATTTTATATCCCATATATGTTAGACCACATTTAGAGTACTGTATCCAAGAAGCTAGCCCGTGTCTGGTAAAGGATACTAACTCCCTTGAGCGTGTCCAGCGTGTAGGAACGAAATTAGTGAAGGGTCTTTCTAGATTCCCTTAGGGTGAGCGTTTAAAACGCCTAAATCTTTTTCCCTTGTCGTATCGTAGGACACGAAGTGACCTTATACTGGCATTTCGTATCTTTAATTATGATTTGGGTGTTAATATGTCTTATCTTTTTGCTCCCTCCAGCACCAATAATCTCCGAGGTCATAGCAAGGAGGTTCATAAACCACGATCTAATAAACCTTAAGTGGGGTCCCGTTTTTCTCGTCCAGTAGTCAATGATTGGAATGCCTTACCCGAACAAGTGGTATCAGACCCATCAGTGAATACTTTCAAGGAGAAGCTGGACCTTCACTGGAAAGCAGTGTGTCAGGATTAATACAGGTTCATCAACCCACTATCCTTATTACTAAAGACTGAAGACTGAACACGGTTTACTCGAATGTACCATTATACACGAAAGATTGTGTGTACACTGATGTTTATTACTTGTATGTTTTTTTCTGAATGATTGTTCAGTTAGTCTCCATTCCAACTAACATATGATCGTAGTCCTTTAAGTGCAAAGAGTAGAAATAACTCAAGGTTACTTGAGTTGGCACGCTATGGGCAAGAAAGATACTAAACAGCAAACTTGGACAAGAGAAAAGCAGGCGAAACAAATTTGACACTGCGCCTTGAGTATGAAGGTATCAGACAAAGGTCTATGCAAGTTCATGAACTAGTCCAGGAGGACAATAAACCCACTCTCCTATATATGCTGTAAATCGTAGCAAAAATACCGCACTTAAAGAATCAAAATAACTTACTGGTTATTGTGAAGGAAATAATATCAAAAACTGTCAATATTCCAAAAATCATTCCCACAGACCAGGTGGGCGCATCTGTTTACTATGGTGAATTTTCATTATGACGAAGCTATAGTTTGAATGAAGTGCGCAGTATTAAATAACGGATTTAAGCTCTCAACACATAAGGTCGTATAATATCGTATTCAATGTCCAAAACTTAAGAAAAGTCGCGTTTCAATATTCATTCATTTGTACATAGGTTTATTGCGAAACTCTTGTGTACAATAAATAGGTAATGCTCATTTTCAAGTTTTGTCAATCGGACGGATGTTAATATATGAGATCGACGAGCTACCCAGTTCGATGTTGAAGTTTACTAATTAAACAGGCATGTAGCATATCACGATTCAGAGTAGCATGAGTGCCGAACGCCTTTAATATTGTTCGTCTCGGAAAGTATTTTTAAATGTTCCTATCATATGGTAAGTTTGGTGCATACCTGACTAATTGAAGGGTATAATTCAGATGAAAGTAAAACTTACGGGTTCGCCACGTGGCTGTTTAGTTTTTTAACTTAACAGCGAACTGGGTAGCTCGTCGATCTCATATATTAACATCCGTCCGATTGACAAAACTTGAAAATGAGCATTACCTATTTATTGTACACAAGAGTTTCGCAATAAACCTATGTACAAATGAATGAATATTGAAACGCGACTTTTCTTAAGTTTTGGACATTGAATACGATATTATACGACCTTATGTGTTGAGAGCTTAAATCCGTTATTTAATACTGCGCACTTCATTCAAACTATAGCTTCGTCATAATGAAAATTCACCATAGTAAACAGATGCGCCCACCTGGTCTGTGGGAATGATTTTTGGAATATTGACAGTTTTTGCTATTATTTCCTTCACAATAACCAGTAAGTTATTTTGATTCTTTAAGTGCGGTATTTTTGCTACGATTTACAGCATATATAGGAGAGTGGGTTTATTGTCCTCCTGGACTAGTTCATGAACTTGCATAGACCTTTGTCTGATACCTTCATACTCAAGGCGCAGTGTCAAATTTGTTTCGCCTGCTTTTCTCTTGTCCAAGTTTGCTGTTTAGTATCTTTCTTGCCCATAGCGTGCCAACTCAAGTAACCTTGAGTTATTTCTACTCTTTGCACTTAAAGGACTACGATCATATGTTAGTTGGAATGGAGACTAACTGAACAATCATTCAGAAAAAAACATACAAGTAATAAACATCAGTGTACACACAATCTTTCGTGTATAATGGTACATTCGAGTAAACCGTGTTCAGTCTTCAGTCTTTAGTAATAAGGATAGTGGGTTGATGAACCTGTATTAATCCTGACACACTGCTTTCCAGTGAAGGTCCAGCTTCTCCTTGAAAGTATTCACTGATGGGTCTGATACCACTTGTTCGGGTAAGGCATTCCAATCATTGACTACTGGACGAGAAAAACGGGACCCCACTTAAGGTTTATTAGATCGTGGTTTATGAACCTCCTTGCTATGACCTCGGAGATTATTGGTGCTGGAGGGAGCAAAAAGATAAGACATATTAACACCCAAATCATAATTAAAGATACGAAATGCCAGTATAAGGTCACTTCGTGTCCTACGATACGACAAGGGAAAAAGATTTAGGCGTTTTAAACGCTCACCCTAAGGGAATCTAGAAAGACCCTTCACTAATTTCGTTCCTACACGCTGGACACGCTCAAGGGAGTTAGTATCCTTTACCAGACACGGGCTAGCTTCTTGGATACAGTACTCTAAATGTGGTCTAACATATATGGGATATAAAATTTGAAACGTTTCCTCGTCAAAAGATTTGAACGCTCGGCGAAGTGACCATAACGCACGAAAACCCTTGACAGCGGCTGCTTTGCAATGCGTAGTTTTTGAAAGACCGGTTGATCCATTAAGATGAGTAAGCTTATATATTATTAAATCCATTGTATGAGTCCAAAAACTGATAAACACGGGTGAATATTTTGTTTTATTCAAAATCTATTGTATTTTATAAATATTTTGCATGTCGACAGCATCATAAATTGGTATGCTGAACGCGTAATCAATGAGTGCACGTTTTGTATACGGCCGAAGTTTAAGTAGGCAGTTTACAGTGGTTCGATGTCAAGTATGAAGCATTAGAAGGTGTATTTCAAATCGCTTGTCAAGCGAATACTAGTCTTTTCCTTTCATGTCCAGGCTTCAAAACCAATCTCTTTGCGGTTTGCTGCCCAACGTGAAAATTGATTTGAGGTTTTATTATAGACATGCAGTTTTGTTACGGGATCACGAGACAGGACGTAGTGTCTAGAAACATTTACAGAATTTAAACTCACTGAGGAATGAGTTTCTTGATTTTAGAAAAGAATGTTTGCCCGATATAATGGATTCTGAACTGGTTTATTATTGCACTTGGCGGCTTATGTGTATTGCAAAAGTTCTTGTTCGGTGGGATGAATCTTTAATTCTATCTGAGTGTCTAAACATGAATATAATTTTATTCATATTGTCTTGCATTTGCCTGTATATAATCCGAAACCGAAAATACCATTAAGATCAAAAGTGTATACTTTGCTTACTTAATTACTTACGCCTGCTACTTCTCGTGGAGGAGCATAGGCCGCCCACCAGCACTCGCTATCCAACCCTGTTCCGGGCAATTCTTTCCAGTTGTTATTCGTCCTTTTCATATATGCTTCTATTTTACGACGTAAAGTGTTCTTTGGCCTTCCTCTTTTCCGCTTCCATTCAGGGTTCCAAGTTGGGGCTTGCCTCGTGATGCAGTTTGATAATTTGCGTAATGTATGTCCTATCCATTTCCATCGTTCTTTCCTAATTTCCTCTTTGGCTGGAAGCTGGTTTGTTCTCTCTCACAGACAACTATTTATAAATACCTGTATCTTCTTGATGATGGTTGTAGTAGTTCTATAAGTTCAAGCTCCGTACAGTAGAACTGTCTGGACGCTCGTATTAAAGATTCTGACTTTGATATTGGTTGAAAGTCCGCCTGTATCTCTCGCAGAGTTACTGCCGGTCCCAAGCTCGGGTAAAGAAGGAGGGTTGGGAATGGGGTTAGCGACCCCATCCCGTGGAAAACTAACTCGCTATAAAAACGACAACCGGAAAAAATAATTCAAAAATTGTATAGTCGCTAATACATTTGTAGGCTCAGGACTAAAGGCGATTTCAATTTTTACTGGTAATTTGAAGACGTATGTTTTGGCTTTGGGTCATCTGTGAATGATCAATAGTAATGTAATTGCCACAATATTACTAGTAGACGACTTTTCACACAGAAGGAGGCCTAATTCCAATGTAATGATCATGTAAAATAGTTCATCGTGAATAAGTTAATCACACGTTGTACATAAAACGAGTACAAGGAAACATTTGTCGTTTAATAGCCAATTTGGTGTATTGACACATTAGTAGAATCGACTGAAAATGTTTCAACTGGTAGTTAGGTAACTTTGTCAGATGTTTTTGTCTTTTACCGTTTTATTGTAACTATTCCTGGACGTTATGACGAAGGAACCTGACTTAAACACTAGACTAGTCTTGCTGTGAAAGTTGTTACCACTTTCAGTTTGTTATTAATCTGCCAACTTTTAAAATTCGTAAATTTGAGCAAATATTGTATTTTTGACGAAAGACTTGGGGTTTTATTAACCTTTTGATAATCATCTTCCTTTAGTTGAATGAGGTCAGGAATGTTTTGTTAAATTTTGTTCTAAACAACATCATCCTTGGTCATTTACCGTGACTAGAATAATTTTAAAATGTCTTCAGCTTAGTGTGTTTCATTTTATCGGAGTTTTTTTCTGATCTGGATGGTTTGGTACTGTGTTTGGTCTGTTTGTTCTTTGTTCGAAATGTTTTTTCGTCTGTTATTTAAAGTACAAATTTTATGTCTTTCACTATTCTCGATGTTAATGAGCGCGTATTTTTTGCGTAGTTCTTTTTATGTTTCCAACCTCCCAATTTTTGATCAGTAATTTATTAAGGAATTAAGGTTTTTTGTGTGAAACGAATATACTTATCTTTTCTTTTTGCTGGACTTAATGTACATTCTCGTTTTTTCGATATACATAGTTATACGTTTCATTTTTACCTTGCTTTATGCTTAGCCGTTACTTATGTTTGCAATCAAAGCTTTTATGTTTATATTTTGCTAATTGTTTTACTGAAAGGACTGTAGAAATCGTCATTGCTCTTTACTACAATTTTCGGTTTACTAGATATTAGAAGTAAACTTTCACTAAATTTTTTTCTGATAATCTTTTTTTTCAAATGACTCAAAGGACAACCAACTTTAACAATTGTTTCTTCATTGGCATTTTAGTTTTATTGATAATAAATTGAGACAAATGTTGGGTCATAACTTTGACATTATGTAGAACAGAGCCTTAACGTTTTAGTCAGGCAGAGTTTTTAGAGATTACGACCAGCCCTGATATCCATTTAATTTATGTATAGCCATATTTTATGTACCACGTTTTTGGGTGAGAAAAAAGAGAATTTAAAAAACAAAAGGCTTTTTTGACATTCATTATAATAATACTTCATTGAACATAGATCCGCATCCATTCTTGCTTATTTTTGGATTGTTATGTAATAAACTTATGCTTTGAAGTATGATTATGTGTAATGTAATCAAAATTTGTATGCGGTTTTGATTGTTTAATCCTTGGTTGAGTGTGATTTTACTGACTTTCTTATAATGATTTGTTAACCCCCATTGTTTTCTTTTGACCTACACGTTCATCTTTAAGAACTGAGATACACAACAATCAAAATAATAATATGGTTTTTTATAATGGATTCCTAAACTTTACATAAGTCAACTATTTTTAAGATTAATTTTCGTTTTTACTAAGGGTGTGCAATGGCGAGGAGAAAAAATTCATAACATCTCTTACTAGTTTTTAATTTACCTTATTCCAGTTCTGCAAGGTGCATAAATACATCTGAGGGAAACGTAGCCGATGGATTAATTGCTTGTTGACTGATTTAAGCTAGCCAGCTAATAAAATCCTTCACAAATACATTTTCTTCATTTCTTGTACTTTAGTCCGATCAAAAGAGAATTGCTGATTCAGTGTGAAAATCCGCCATTATGATACTGCAAGTGTGTATTCGGATGGTAAGTTATTAATTGGCTAATGCCTAATACTAGTTGGTCAGCTTGCACAAATCTGAATGTTAATCTAACTACAAGCCTCTCACTAGAACTGACTTACTCAAATATAAATTTGGTTTATTTTTTTGATCAAATGAATTTATACTAGCAGTCTTTGTGCATTAAACATGCGTCGTCAAATATGAAGTTTCCAGCACCAAGCATAGATCGCTTAAGTATCATGAAGCACAAAAGTTACGACATGTGTTGTATCGAGCTCACATGGGAATACTACAGTGACGCATGTAGCACCTCGATGACCTCTAAACAACAAACTATAAATTCATCTTAACCTGCGTTAATGAATTTGACTCTACCAGAAATTAGAATTGCTAATACTGATTACTAATAAACCGGTTTATTTTTATTACATAATCACTGCTGATTCCACATTAAACAAGTGGAATAACAAAAAATTATATTCGGAACATTATCGAGCTTGTGTTTAATTGTGATTGATCAAGGTTATAAACTTTTATTTTGTGATTATTAATCCCCAAATAAGTCAGTGTTTCTCCTATATAAATCCATGTAAATGCTCTGTAAAAACAAGAACGGATATAAATTCATTTTCATTTTGATCATAAAAAATTTATTTGAAACGTTGCTATAAATATACCAAATATCTTAAGATACACAAGCAAAATATTTAGATACAATGTTTTTCAGTGATGTTCAAACACTTGATTTATCGTCCACTTGTAAACCGCAAATGTG